GGTTGCCCTCAATAGTCTTCTTTCCTCTCTTCCTTCAGGTGTTTTCTCCGCTCTCTATGTCGATGATCTTACCCTTTGCTGTCAGGGTGATGATTCGCCTCTCCTTCAGTGCCGGCTTCAACATGCGATTGATGCCGTGTCGTCTTGGGCCACCGATCATGGCTTCATGTTCTCTACTTCTAAGACTTGTGCCATGTCTTTTACTCGGAAACGGGTCGTTCTTCGTCCCTCTTTGTCACTTTATGGTCATCCCCTTGAGTACAAAGATTCCGCAAAGCTTTTGGGGTTATTCTTTGACACTTGTTTGTCTTGGTCTCCTCATATCTCTTTCCTCCGTGTTGAGTGCTCTAAGGCCCTTGCCCTCCTTCGGGTATTGTCCCATACTTCTTGGGTAGCGGATAGGCGCACTCTCCTTGCTTTACATTCCTCTCTCGTCCTGTCTAAGCTCGATTATGGTTGGCCTGCTTACTCGTCTGCTTCTCCTTCTACTCTTCGCCGTCTTGATGCTTTGCACCATACTGGGTTGCGCCTCAGTTCTGGTGCCTTCGTTCGACTCCTGTCCTTAGCTTGTATGTTGACACTGGCTTCCTGTCTCTCCAGGACCGCCATGATCGCTACTGTCTTCGCTATCTTGCGCAGTCCTTACAACGTCCTTCCTCTCGCCTCTGTCGTGCTTTAACTCCTACCTCTCCTGCGGTTCCTGTTTCTCTTCACCACCTCCCTCTTTCTGTCCCGTTATCTCCCTTACAGGATTCTCTTTCTGTTCGTGTTTCTAATGTTTCTCCTCGTGTTGTTCCTTCTTTGCCCCCGTGGAGAGTCCCCCTTCCGCAGTTTCGTACGTCCTTGACCCGCACCACTTAAGCTTTTACCCCTCCTACGGTTCTAAAACGCCTTTTACTTGAGCACTTTTCTTCTCACTCCCGCTCCGTTTCTGTCTTCACCGATGGGTCTAAGTCTGCGGACGGTGTTGGCTACTCTGTTGTTTTTCCTGATCGCACTTATATGTGTCACTTACCTCCGGAGACTAGCATCTTTACCTCGGAGCTTTATACTATTCTCTATGCTCTTCGTCTCCTGATCTCTCGTTGTCAGTCTTCCTTTGTAGTTGTTGTTGACTCTCGTAGTGCCCTCATGGCTCTCGGGTCCTTTAATCTGGTTCATCCAGTAGCTGTCGAGATCCAGCATTGGCTGTTTCTTGTTCACAGTAAATTTAAGTCGGTTGAGTTTTGTTGGGTTCCCAGCCATATTGGTGTGTTTTAAATGAGCGTGCGGATGCTGCCGCCAAGGAAGCTGTCCGCTCTTGTCCCATCTCTCGTAGAGGTATTCCATATTCCGACTTTTACCCAGTTATCCATTCCTCCATCCTTACCCGTTGGCTGGCTTCTTGGTCGTCTGTTACTGGTAACAAACTACATACTCTTAAATGTTGTGTTTCCTCGTGGCCGTCCTCCTACCACCGTAACTGGCGATGGGAAACAGCTATGGCGAGGTTGCGTATTTGCTATACTCGCTTAACCCATGGTCACTTGATGGAGCGTCGCCATGCTCCTTATTGTCCTAATTGCATTGTCCCTCTTACGGTCGTGCATGTCCTTCTTGAATGTCCTGACTTCCAGGACGAGCTTGTGTCTTGCTTTCCGACCGCCCTTCGCGGTCACCTGTCCCTCAATAGGATTCTTGGTGACTCGGATACTTTTAATATCGTTCGCCTTATGCGTTTTTGTTCTCGTATTGGCTTCCTTGGTGATATTTAGCGCCCTCTGATTATTCCGCACATTTGATGATGCTACATAGCCTTCCCGGTTTGGTGCCTTCTTTTGATAATTACTTACTTACTTACTTGGACTTATATTAGAAAGTCATAAGCAAACCTTAAGGTTATTTGTTAGTGGATCTAGGCTCGAACACACCCATCAGTATAACATTACATGGCAATATTGTTCTTGAGCAGCCCTATAAAATAGTATACAAATGGTGAGCAAGAAAGCCATACTGGAGCGAGTTTATAATGACACAACATCTACAGGCGGGTTAGGGAGTGTTCAAATATAAAGCCGCTAAATTAACCCCACGATAACAGTTGCCGATGTGAAGGATAACCTGAAATCCTCCGATGCATATACTTTGCACTATTTATATCTGCTTAAATTTGCGTGGCGTTGCATATTGAGTCCTAAGCCGCGAATATTTCAGTCTATAGACTTGGCAGAGATGAGTATGCTGACCAAACATTATGATGGGGTAAAATATCTACTCGTCTGTATAGACCTATTCTTTAGGTTTGCCCAAGTTGTTCCCTTAACTAGCAAGGATGGAAAGAGCATGAGTGAAGCTTTGCGTTTAATTCTTAATTTTAAGAATTCTGGAATTCTTTAATTCTGGAAGCTCCTGTCTCAGGGAAAACGTAAAATTAATTCTGATCGAGTTGGAGAATTTTATAAGGCATCAACGAAGAAGATGCTAGCTTCGAAGAATGTAGTTATATAGTGTGTTTTCTCAGGAGGCCATAACCTTTATAGCCGAGAAGTTTTTATGTACTTTGAGAGGTAAACTTTACAAGTACATGTCCGCACGCAATACTTTAAGCTACATGCAAGCTCTACCAAAAATTGTGAAAACGTATAATATAACTCCTCATAAAGGATTGATGGGAACGACACCTGCCGAGGTTCATGCTTTATCTACACCTAGAGAGACTGCTGAACAATTTAACTTGATGTTTAAAACCCAGAGAACAAAAAAGCGAGGTATCATTCCACAGTTGGAAGTTGGTGATACGGTACAAATCACAATATCGGATCGTATTTCTAAGTTTAGAAAAAGGTTTAAACAATAGAACACCCGAGAGATCTTTACTGTCATGCAAATTGATCAGTCACCGTATCCCATTATACTTTCTATAAGATTTGAATGGGAAGGATATTGAGGGAGGGTTCTATAACGAGGAATTGACACCTACTAACTTACCTGTTACCTTTAATATTGAAAAGTATTGCACAAACGCAAAATAGACGGAAAACTACAGTATAAAGTCAGATATGTCGGTTATGATAAGTCATTCTATCAGGGGATCGTTGTTGACAACGTATTACATTTAAAATGAAAAAACGCCCTCCGTTTATAAATACAAAGAGTTGATCCAGTTATAATCCAAGCTTCAGTATTCCTCAAGAAAACAATTGATTGAAAAATTTAAGAAACATCATATATAAATTGTTTATCTGAAATATTTATTAGCTTAAAAAAAAATAACCTGTGTCTAAGAAGGTAATTTAAGAAGTTGAAAAAATACAAATTACTTATTCTCCCAATAGCGTACAAGAAGAATTCCATAACTAAGAAGCGGATATTAACTAGGAAACGAGGAGGGAGTATTGTATCTATTATCCTGACCATTGATGCTAGATTGATTATTTCTGAACCCCTGACTGAGAGTAGTGATCCTCTGACTGATAATAGTGTACCTTTGATGGACGGTATTGTTTAGCTGACTGATAGTAGTGTGCCTTGAACGGATGGTATTATCTATCTGACTGAGAGTAGTGTGTCTGACTCATAGTTTTGTATCTCTGACTGATAGTATTGTCTCTCTCTGACTGAGAGTAGCGTGTTTCTCTCTCTGACTGATAGTAGCGTGTGTCATAGAGTAGTGTGCCTCTGACTGATATTAGTGTGCCTTTGACTGATTGTAGTGTACTGTTGACTGATAGTAGTGAGCCTCTGACTGATAGTAGTGATCCTCTGACTTATAGTAGTGTTGTCGGAAATTTCCGACATCCCAAATATTAGCCCTTGACACAATAGGATACGTTGTGTGAAGATACTAATCTAACTAACCCTACTAACAGAAGTTCTAGAACATGCTAGAGACGATTGCGTCAGCCGCCACATGTACGCGGTGATTATTGTTTTGCCTAGCACTTGATAGGAACTCCGTCTTTAATCTGCTTTCATTTGCGATTGTTATCTTAGAGTTTAAAAAATGTTTATAGTAATCGAGAAGAATAAATTCATATTAAAATTATCATTTACATCCTTTCATTCATAAATTTGCACCAAAAAATTGCCATAACTATCAGCTAATGAGAGGGAAGGGGGGGGGGGGGGTGCGAATGCGCAGCGCCACGGAGCGTGAGTTGCTGAGCACTTGGCAAGAGAGGCGGACGCATCACCATACTCTCCAGATAGACGCCATATTTGTGCTTATAGCCGCAGAATTGTCTCATTCGTAGGTGCAAATTGTACTGCAGAATCGTGCCGTTGAACTGATTACCACGTATCAAGCTGTCGCATTCTCCAAGGACGTCTCCCGGTTGTATCATATTTTATTTCCTTGTTGCCAGTTCTTAACTTTGAGATTTCAACCTTCAACCGGGTTACGAGGCATAATTATCAAGAAGCCCCAGTAAGCCTCTCTCCCTTGCATTAGGTATCACTTTCTGTGTTATAATGCTAATATAGTAGGCTGTTACAGTTGGTGCTTTGTATTACCCCGGTAGATCTACGATGGCGACGTGAGAGAGGGTTCTAATGGTTCCAAGACGTTGGAGTTCAGGTCTTGAGTACAAGACGCAGTAGACACGGAGTCAACATTTACTGCATAACCCACCTGATGACTGCTCTCGTGTTATTGCTGGGCTAGGAGGAAATCTTCAATCCAGCTAAGCTGAAGTTTTATAACTAATCAGTTGTAGTGTAGTCTAGTAACTCTTTCACTCTTTTATTTATGAATATCATAATTGAGTTTATTTAACATTTATATGCATTATTGGTACTACCCCCCAAAAAAAGTGTGCAGAGGAAATAATCCAATTAACCTCTAACGTTTTTACGGTCAACTTCTCTAATTTTATTTTAGTCAATTATTTAATTCATGATTATATTAGATTATATGTTGGAGAGTTTTCCCCACACAAGTGTGTCCCTGACGGACAATAGTGTGTCCCTGACGGACAATAGTGTGTCTCTGACTGACAGTAATGTGTCTCTGACTGACAGTAATGTCTCGGACTGACAGTAGTGTGTCTCGGACTGACAGTAGTGTGTCTCGGACTGACAGTAGTGTGTCTCGGACTGACAGTAGTGTGTCTCGGACTGACAGTAGTGTGTCTCGGACTGACAGTAGTGTGTCTCGGACTGACAGTAGTGTGTCTCGGACTGACAGTAGTGTGTCTCGGACTGACAGTAGTGTGTCTCGGACTGACAGTAGTGTGTCTCGGACTGACAGTAGTGTGTCTCGGACTGACAGTAGTGTGTCTCGGACTGACAGTAGTGTGTCTCGGACTGACAGTAGTGTGTCTCGGACTGACAGTAGTGTGTCTCGGACTGACAGTAGTGTGTCTCGGACTGACAGTAGTGTGTCTCGGACTGACAGTAGTGTGTCTCGGACTGACAGTAGTGTGTCTCGGACTGACAGTAGTGTGTCTCGGACTGACAGTAGTGTGTCTCGGACTGACAGTAGTGTGTCTCGGACTGACAGTAGTGTGTCTCGGACTGACAGTAGTGTGTCTCGGACTGACAGTAGTGTGTCTCGGACTGACAGTAGTGTGTCTCGGACTGACAGTAGTGTGTCTCGGACTGACAGTAGTGTGTCTCGGACTGACAGTAGTGTGTCTCGGACTGACAGTAGTGTGTCTCGGACTGACAGTAGTGTGTCTCGGACTGACAGTAGTGTGTCTCGGACTGACAGTAGTGTGTCTCGGACTGACAGTAGTGTGTCTCGGACTGACAGTAGTGTGTCTCGGACTGACAGTAGTGTGTCTCGGACTGACAGTAGTGTGTCTCGGACTGACAGTAGTGTGTCTCGGACTGACAGTAGTGTGTCTCGGACTGACAGTAGTGTGTCTCGGACTGACAGTAGTGTGTCTCGGACTGACAGTAGTGTGTCTCGGACTGACAGTAGTGTGTCTCGGACTGACAGTAGTGCTTCTGATGGATAGTAGAGTGTGTCTAACTGATAGTAGAATGTCACTGTCGACTGATAGTAGTGTGTGTCTGACTGAGAGTAGTGATCCTCTGACTGATAGTAGTGTGACCCTGACTGATAGTGTGTCTGACTGATAGTAGTGTGTGTAACTGATAGTGGTGTACCTCTGATAGTAGTGTGTCTCAGACTGATAGTAGTGTGACCCTGACTGATAGTAGTGTGACCCTGACTGATAGTAGTGTGACCCTGACTGTTAGTCGTGTGTGTTTGACTGATAGTAGTGAACCCCTGACTGATAGTACTGAGCCCTGATTGATAGTAGTCAGCCACTGACTGATAGTATTGCCTCTGATGTAAGTGAGCTCCTGACTGATAGTAGTGTGTGTATCCGACTGAGAGTAGTGTGCCACTGACTGATTGTAGTGTGAGTCTGACTGATGGTAGTGTGCCTCTGACTGATATAAGTGAGCCTCTGACTGATATAAGTGAGCCCCTGACTTATAGTAGTGTACGTTCAAGGTTAAGATGACTTAACCTTGAAGTCATGCGACAGTAGTGACAACTATGCTTTAATTTTACCGGCAGCGGTTGTTAAGTGCATTAGTTTGATGTTTACAAATAGGAGAGAGTGAAGAGGACATTATTATGTTTACCAACAGCAGAAAATAAAATCTAACTAGATTTTTTCTGACATAAAGGACTGACAAAATTGCCTAATGTTTACTGATATTAGATAATTAAGACTATTGCTGGAGTACAACTGTAGCTTTATCCTGCCAATGAATCGATATTGTATAAGAATAAAAATGCACACAACCAGAAAGAAGTTCTCTGAGGCGCTTATATTTTTAAGTGTGAGCTTTTAAGCCAGTCTCCTGAGTGTTGGTGTGCGCCTAAGTTCCCTGCCACCCCCAAACTCACACATCGCCGCTCAGGGTGTTGTTGGTCCTGATCTCCAGCGAGTCGTAGTAGCAGCAAGTAGCACCGTTGCATTTATGACGACTGGTGAACAGTTTGAAGTCGTTGAAGGTAATACTCGGACGATAGCACATAGGAGCATGAATGACATACACACATCTTGATCCTGTGAAGAGCAGAAAGATGGCTAATTTCTTACTTATTTTATTTTGTCAAGAGTGATCAGCATTTATCTTTACCATATTTCTTACGTCCTTAGAGTGGCGAGGCATCAGCAAGGAGGAAAAACGTAGGGAACCAAATTTTTTTACGACATAAAATCAAATTATTCACATATTAAACACTTTAAACATTCATTAAAAAACAAGCTACAACACACACCAACATGTCGTACACACTCTCTGCACCACTCAATCACTAACAATCCGTTCTTCGGAACTGTCTCAATAGACTCTCAACATTCCTGAGTTTTAAGATAGCATTCTCTCGTTTTACCCCCCCCCCCCAAGAAATGTTTAAGCCTAATTCCCTTAGTGCTGCTAAGAACTCGTCTCTGATTGTGAAGCTTCTGAATTTGTTTGAGAGTTCATGTGAGACCCGGTTAGGACTATGATGTCAGACCCCTCTGAGAATGATTTACAAGTAGAACAGAATGAGACACACTAATATGATGATGAACCACACATCAGAAGACTGACAAGCGACGTCGTTTCGACCCGTCCTGGACCATTATCTGGTCGTGTGTGTGTGTGTGTGTGTGTGGACTAAATTTAAAGAGAGGCACAGAGACTCGGTTTCTGTTCCTCTTTCTCTGTCTACAATTGTTAAACAGTTAATAAGCTATCCACACTAAATTTAAATTTTGATTTTAAACTAATAAGTTTTGACATGACTTTTATTCGCTAAAGGTTTTGTGGATGACGTAATAGGATTTCTACGTGAAGATCTGCTGAAATATAATTTGAGCTTGCAGACCAGTAATGTATTGGAACTTATCATATAGTGTATAAAAGACAATTATTTTAGTTTCAATTTAAAATTGTTCAAACAAACATCTTGGAATGACAATGGGCAATCCCCTTTCTCCAGATTTGAGCAATTTGTATATGGAGTTCTAAGGAGTATATGGAGTTGGAAACAAAAATCTTACCCAGGATTATCCCTGCTATATGTAGCTAGGTTTAGGTATGTCGATGATATTTTGTGCTTATGGCAATGTGACCAAGATCAAACAGTTTTTTCTTAATGAACTTAATTATTTGGTACCTTCGATAAAATTCACATGAGAATGAATGATGAGAATGGGAGCCGGTCGGCCGAGCGGACAGTACGCGGTACTTGTTATCCTGTGGTCCTGGGTTCGATCCCAGGCGCCGGCGAGAAACAATGGGCAGAGTTTCTTTCACCCTATGCCCCTGTTACCTAGCAGTAAAATAGGTACCTGGGTGTTAGCTGTCACGGGCAGCTTCCTGGGGGTGGAGGCCTGGTCGAGGACCGGGCCGCGGGGACACTAAAAAGCCCCGAAATCATCTCAAGATAACCTCAAGATAAGATGGTACTCTCCCGTTTTTGGACATTATGATTCATAGTCAATAGAAGGTTCAAATTTAATGTATATAGGAAACCTACCAACGTTGGGTCGTATGTTCATTATTATTCGAATCATTGTAGTAAAGTAAAATCATTGTACACAAATATATATGTGTACAGACAATATTTTCAGGAATGTTTCTTAGAGCTTTGAGAGTATGCAGCCCTAAGTTTTTTAATGAAGGATGCTAAAATACGAAATTGGGAAGAGCTTGCAATACCCTAAGATGTTTTTGGATTGCTCGTTCAGGCATGTTAAACGTACGTTTTATAATCATGTCCCCGAAGTGATACCAGAAATTAAAAACTGATTGGTGGTTCCTTATGCGATGGGACTTGAAATCTTTCCCCGGTTTTTAAGAAACTTGATATCAATTTTGTGTTCACTAATAGTACGATAAAGTTCAATATAATAAAAAAAGTCCCTTGGTACAGCAGGTTGTGTGTGTTCGATTCCATGCAATGGTTGTGATTCTCTGTACCTTGGACAAACAGGAAAATCGTTACAATTGCATTTGTCCCAACATTTATATAGCATTAGAACTGCCCAAACGTCTAGTGCATTGTACTTACACACAAGTTAGTGAGATCACACTATTAAGTCGGATGGAGCGAAAAGCATTACCAATTGCGGTGGTTTTGTGGAACGGAATTTGATCGAGTCTGCCCTAATCAGCGTCCAACTCTTCTCAATGTTAGTACTGGTATGTAAAAACTTGATCTATTTTAAGTTACAATATTGCACAACAGCTTAAGAAAAAATTCTGATAGGGAGGGTTACTATGTCATTACAAAATTATTATATGTTGTGTGTGTGTTCAATAACTCTTATTCTTTAATCTGTTGTACTTATTCTCTGACCGCTTATTATTTCTGACTATTCCAAGCTAATCTGTACTTATTTCTGGGAAATTCTATCCCTGGGAAGGGTGATCAGGTTCCAGTTGCCTCCACCTCCCTCTGTTTCTCTTAGTCTGTTGACAACGGCCTTGATCGGCCGAAACGTTCATATCTTTTTCCCATTTCTCTGTGTATTTTCCCAACACACACACACACTCACACACTAACTATACACACTACTATATATATATATATATATATATATATATATATATATATATATATATATATATATATATATATATATATATATATATATATATATATTGTGACGGGAGAGTGTTGGAGCTATCCAGCTGGGATGGCCCCATTGTAGACCAAGTTGCTGCAGAGTGCCTGGGTGCTGCAACAACACAACACGACATTGCTCGCCTCACAGCAGTAGCAGCCCCACATGCAGGGGATTTCCTGTTAGCAACCCCAATGTCGGCAACTGGCACGCGTCTCACACCACACGCCCTCCGAATTGCTGTAGCCCTTCGTCTTGCTGCCCCAATCCACACCAGATATAGGTGTATTTGCGGCGAGGTGGTGGCTGACAGGTACGGCCACCATGGCTACTCTGCCAAAGCACAGGGGGATGGCACTCGAGGCACAGTGAAGTTAACGACATCATCAAGAGGAACCTCACCACAGCTGGATGCCCAGCTGAAAGAGAGCCCCGTTACCTAACGCCCCATAACTCTGATGCTCTTATTGGTCGCCCGGATGGTATCACAGTGAACCCCTGGAAGAATGGCAAGCAGTTGGTATGGGACTACACGTGCGTATCAACCCTGGCTAACACCTACATTAACCTCAGTGTTGCACAACCAGGTGGCGCTGCCACCCACAGGGAAGCAGCCAAATCCCGTAAGTATAGAGAACTGGATCACCACTACAATTTTGTCCCCATTGCTTCTGAGACACTCGGCGCCTGGGGTAAAAGTGCTACCAGTTTTTTGAAGGAACTGGGTTCTAGGCTCAGTGAAACAACAAGGGACCCGAGAGCTGCAAGCTTTCTTTTCCAGCGCCTCAGTGTGGCGATACAGAGGGGAAATGCGCACTGCATCCAGGGTTCCTGCCAGCCATCTGAGGAGCTGGAGGAACTCGACAACCTATCATAACCATCTTTGTAACCTATATGTAACTTCTTTTTTGTAACAAGGTTCAAATAAAGCAAATATATATGTGTACATACAAAAGAATGGGGGTGGTAGGAGAAGATAATATTAGAGTTCAGTGAGAGACCACAAGGTCTCCTCTGAATACTTTTTTTCTTCTTCTCCGAGGCTATGGGTCCCCACATTGGCACCAGAGGTGGTACCCTCACAAATATTTATATATATATATATATATATATATATATATATATATATATATATATATATATATATATATATATATATATATATATATATATATATATATATATATATATATATATATATATATATATATATATATATATTAGTATATTTTGGTAGCAGTCTTTCTTTTAAACATATGTTGTTGAATATGACCGAAAAGGTAAGATTAATAATTCTAACATGAATCTTCTCAATATTTCTAATGTTTTTCTTCACTGTCGGTGGTAATTAAAATAACAATTCTCCGAAATTCATT